AGAAACTCTTTGTATTATTGTGATTTCTAAAAGCAATTTTTTTTAAAAATCTTTTTCTTTCTTGCTATTTATCTTACTATATGCCCAACTCTATTACAATTATTACTAGTAGAAGCTCAATACTTATATACAAAATGTTTAGAATATTAACAATGGTGGCAAGCATTATTATTATTGTTTCTTGGTCTGTTATTATTTTGTTACCAATTATTATTATTGTTTTGTCAATTATTTCTGTTATTTCAATTATTTTTTTAGTTATTTTGACAGTTATTATTATTGTTAGTGGATTGCTAAGAGATATTTGCATTAATAGGCTTTAATTATTTAATTGTCTCAGTTAGAAACTCCTTTGTTTGTGCAGCTATTAAAGCTTTAATATCAGTTTTAGCAGCAGAAGTAGCATTATTAAAGAATAATAGTTGATATAATATGTGAAACAATGAATAAGCTGAGTGAGTATTGCCTTTAAAATAGGCTGCTTCAATAGCTTTAGCCTTTTAACAGCTTCAAATAGATCATCTGATATTGCAGATTCAACTGAAATATGGAATTCAGAACATAGGCTATCTATAAATTTTCTCCTTTTATCTTTATCAGAATTGCTAATATTTGGGTCTACCTTTCGGCATAGTTCTTTTAAAGCAGAGAAATAAGACTCAATAGTTTTATCAGGTTTTGATTTCTATTTTTTAGAGTATAAAACTATTAAATAACTTAATGTAGACTTCTGAACTATTTTTCAAACTTGTATTTAAATAAATAATTCATATTATATATAGTAGTAGAATCATTCCAGCTAGTAAAAGCTGTTTTGAAATGATTAAACCAAATAAGAGCTGTTCCTTTTAGATAATTAACTACTATTTTTAGTTTTCTTTTATTATTCATATTATTTGCATTACCATTGTTAAAGGCTTTAAACTAAGCAATAGAATCTTCTTCACCTCTTTTAAAGATATGTAAATCTATAAGTTTTACTTTTTTAGGATTACTATTGTAATATAACAAGTTAGATCTTTGGTTAACAAGTTACTTTACTTGACTAAATATACAAGTAGTCAAGAAATGTGTTTATATAATTTATAGAAGAAAACAGTTTATAGATAAGATAAAATATTGTCAACTTATTGCTATGGTGATATTTACAAAGAAAAGGTTATAATTAACAAAGTTTATAGACAAAATATAGATTTATTAACTCAGATAATACTCAAAAGAATAACTAGATAAAACAAATATATAACTCAAGAAAAATACAATAATTCTAAGAAAAAATCATAAAAAAGGAACTTATTTTCAACAAAAATAATATAAAAATACCAAAAATAGTACTTATTTTTAAAAACAAAGATGTAATAAAGGGTTTGTTTTCAATATAAAATGTATAATTGTAGTGTTATAAGAACCAGAATTTGCAGATCAGCTGTCCTTTTGCCTTGGGAAAAGATGCATAGTTTATATATCTTTTTCTGGCATATTAATTTACTATAGAACATAGTAATTAATTAAGGAAAGGCACCTTTTATTAATGAAAGAGCACTTTCTACTATATAATGAGCACCTTTAGATAGTAGATAGGCACTTCCAGATAGTGAATAGGCACCTTAAAATAATTAAATTTAGATATTAGGCATCTTTTACTATGGCAAGGGCACTTTTTCTTATAGGATAAGCACCTTTTAATATTGGATAGGCATCTTTTAATATAGAATGTGCACCTTTTGATATAGCAAGAGCACTTTTGCTATTTTGGGTTTTTGGCTTTGTTTATTCTTATTGTTGTTATTACATTGTTCTGGGCTATCCTGAGGCACCATTTATGTTTGTGTTTCTTGATCCAGATTCTATTTACATTAAATGAACTAATAAATTAAATAATTAAATAACTATTGCTTTAAATAGAATTTTGTAAAAACTATCCTAATAAAGTTAATAATAAACTATTATTTGAGCAACTAAAATAAATAAAATATATTATAAACTATATAAATAGACTAATAATACTATAAAATATACAATAATAATATAAATAATATAATAAAATTTAAGAAAAATATAATAAAAATTGTTAATAAAATTCGATTAATAAAATTTTTAATAAAATATATATAATCAAAATAAATTTAACTAATAAAATTTGCTAATATAATACTACTCCCTCCTTGAAAAATTTTGCACTGCAAAATTATAAAGATTTGTAGTTCAGACTCTGTAATTATGACCCATCGGCAGAGTTTACAAGACTGTCAGTAAATATTGAACCTACAGATGCTGACAACAGCTGCAAATCATTACCACTTTACTACATTTAGTAATATTGTAAAAATTTTTGATTGTCTATTTTTAAACAATAAAATCATTATATATAGACAAGTGATTTTCAAGGACTTGAGGTTTGTGTAAAATTATGAAAAAGATTTTTTTTTTTTAAATTTTAACAAATTTTTTTAAAAAAAAGGTAAAATAAATAATACAATAAATATAAATTCAACTAATGTTAATAATAATAATAATAGTATAAAAATGCTATTTATGATATCGAACTACTTGAACTTACAGAAGAAATAACCAAAATGCCCTGTATGGAGCAATTGATATACTCCAAAGTGAGAATTGAAAGTAATTTAAATAATAATAATATAATAATAATAATAAAATAATTTAAATAATAATAATAATAATATATAATAATAATTATAATTTTAGATTGCTCATGAAAATACAAGGTTAAGAACAAGAGTTCGTGAATTGAAAAAGCTACTACAAACAAGGGCTTTATAGCTGGACAAGGCTTTACAAACAAGTGTTAGAGAGTTAATGTTTGAGATTGAGAATTGGCAGTTGTATTTAAAGGGGAACGTCTAAAGCCGTGTCCAGTTACGTGTTTTTTGTTTTTAATTAATTTAGGGTAAGGGTTAGTTTGGAGTTAGAGTCAGAACATGTCTTATAGTAAAATTGTCTCCCCGACATTTTTTATTAATGCACCAAGATGGGTTTAGACTATCGTTTCTTGTATTTTTTGTGATTTTCACTTTTTTTCACTGTTTTTTGTCTCTTCGGGCTGATCTGTGTCGATTAAAATAAACAATTCTATTGGCTTTAGGTCACGTAATGGACACAGCTTTAGACAACCCCATTTAAAGGAGGTAATTAGAGAAAACCAAGCACATAATACTAATTATGCACTTTTGGTTCGAAAAAAAAGTGCATTAAGATATAGAATAGCAAAACTGGAGGTTTTAATATACACACCTTAAATTAAAAAATTTTAATAAAAATTTTTATAAATTTTTTATTATTTTATTATATTATTTCTTGGTTAATTTTTCTATTATTAATATGTAATAAATTTCACTTTATAGAGTTGTTTGACTTCAATTTTATAATAAATATTAAAAATTTTTTCACTTAATTTCTATCTTTTGGCTAATTTATCTTTTCTAAGTTCTTTTGTAAATTTCTTTCTTATTTCGTTAAGAAACTTTTTACAATAATATTCCTACTTCTTAACTCACCTAAATAATAATCTGCTTCAAGTTTTCTGATATAAACATTCTTTCATTTTCCATATTGTTTAATTTTAATAATAATTTTGTTAAAAATTTCTAAATCATTATTGCCAGTCAGATAGTAAAATTATATAATTTTATAAATAAAACTTTTAATTTGACTAATAAAAATTTTCTAAAAAAATTTTTAAATAAAACTTATAACTCAATAAAATTTTCTAAAATTTTATAAATAAAGTAATTGTTCAATAAAATTTCCTGTATCTATATTTTTTATCAACTTATTATTTTACATACAACTTTATTCAAACTTGAATACAAAAGTTGTCTATAGGGCTTATATTTTCCAAATATAAAAAATAATTATTCCATATTCAACTTTCCAATTTGAATAGTAAGGTTTTATAAAGCTCATATTTCCTAAATATAAAATTATTTTATATCCAACTTTATTCAAATTGATTGTCAAAGTTGTTTATAGAGCTCATATTCTCCAAATATAAAAGTAATATTTATTTTATATTCAATTTTATTCAAACTTGAATGACGAAGTTGTAAATAAGGTCATGTTCCTTAAATATAAATATTTTATATTCAACTTTATCTAAACTTGAATAGCGCAATTGTTAATAGGGCTCATATTCTCTAAATATAAAATCTGAATATTATTTTTTCTACTCTACATTATTTGTAAAACTTTCTTGTTTTAAACTAAAACTTTATCAAATCTCATAAAATAATAGAATTTTTTTTTATAGAATATTAAATAGATAAGAAAATTGTATAGAGCTCCAACTATTGCTCTAAACTGTTCTAGATACTATATTATACTAGGCCTATTTAAAGAAAATTTATAAATATACTATTAAATAATAAAATATAATAATAGAAATATTTGAAAAATATATATATATATATTAATAAAAATATTTTATCAATGTTTTAAAATGTTTTTCATCCAAATTATATATGTTTAGATTTTAATTTTTTTATTCTATATATATTATGATATCTAACTGTTTTGAAAAGATGATAAATTCTAATCTACATAGCTCTGTTTTTAGAATTAATTTCTATTTCCTAATTATAAGGATAAGCTAATACTAGTGTTCCCAAATAATAAGAATAAGCAAGCATTTTAATTTGTTCACTATACTTTGCTTTAGTATATAGTTTATAAGTTTTAGAGAAACATTTATCCTAAGAAGTATTAATAAGTATTAGCACTTCTACAGGATGAATTTGACTATTATTAAGTAATGCACATTTTAATTCTACAAAAACTTTTTTCAAAAGAATTGCTTAATAATTCATAATGAATTGATTTTGATTTAAAAAAATTTAAAATATAATAGATAATATATAAGTAAAAAAGAAGTTTAATTTTAAGACTTTATAAACATTACAACACAATATCTTGAAAGTTAATTACTCAATTAATTGTAGTTGCAATAATATTTGTATATATAAAAAAAATTATAAAAATCCAGAATACTGTCAACCTGAGAAGGATTAACTTTTATGACAGATTTTTAAAGAATTTAAAAAAATTAATAGGTGGTTAATAAAATTTAAAACAATAACCTTCAAGATACTATAAGAGTCAATAGGCTAATTATGGAGTTGTTACCTATTGGTCTTTCTGTATTAGCTAGATATAACAAAATTTGTTTGCCCTGTACTAGGATTACTAGCCACTTAAACTTAGAAGTATCCTAAGATAAATCCAGAGGAAGAAATACCAATAATCAGGCTATTATAAGTTATATGTAGTTTTAAATTTTATAATAAAAGCTAGTACTTGCCACAGTACTATTCACAAATACAGCTATTACCTTATATTATTAGCAAGAAAGAGAATAACTAATTTATAAAATTTTAAAATAATAGGTAAACTAAGAGAAAATAATAAAAATTTGTTCAATATGTAAGATAAATAGCAAGAAAGAAAAAGATTTTTAAAAAAAATTGCTTTTAGAAATCACAATAATACAAAGAGTTTCTGGTCCTATTATCATCACCAAAACAGTAATATAACAAGTTAGACCTTTGGTTAACAAGTTATTTTACTTGACTAAGTGTATGAATAGTTAAGAAATATATTTATATAATTATAAAAGAAAACAGTTTATAGATAAGATAAAATATTGTCGACTTATTGTTATGAATTTTTTTTCATTATTATAATAGGTTTCTATTATAGTTTTTATAGGAAGTTTAGCTTCTTATAGCTTTTAAATGTTCTATATGTTCCTTAAATATCTCTGAGTATATATTAACATCATCAATATAGATCATAGCATACTTCTAAAAGAGCTGGTTCTAATATCATCAATTAATCTTTGAAAGGTAGAGAGAGCATTACAAAGTCCAAAGGGCATGACATTAAATTCATA